ATGTAAGACTTTTAGACCATATATCTAAATGAGCTAGTGATCTTGACCTGTCTAATATTTATTAGCTACCTTATCTCCAGTGACTAAAGCTGGGAAAAGACAGAGTACTCAATTCCTTACTATACCGTTCCAAACTTAATTCACCTTTGGCTACATGGACTTTGCCAGTGATTTATTTAGTAGCTACCAAGAAAATTTATTTTGAGACCATGCTGGAGAAAAGTAAGTACTGTCAGTAGTTACTCACTACATATTATTTAAGAAACAAATCCCCTTTCATATTTCCAAAATCAGTTGGAGATATAAAGTGATGATGATATTTTTTATCTATCATACAATTTACAGAAACTTATTATTTCAATGGGAAAGATAATCTCAAATGATATAAAGGATGAACCGCCTCTAAAAAGTGTGTGAAAGCTGCAGAAGTGTTTCTATTTATTCTAACAGATTTTGGATAAAGGCTAATGTAAATGAATAAGTATCTGTCTTTTGACTAGCAGGCTGTTTAGACTGGTATATAGCCTAATTTTAGCCTAATGCTAGACTAATATATAAATTTTAGTCTCATCATTTAAAAAGATCTATCATTAGTCATAACAAGTACAACTAGAGAAGACAAATTCTTCCTTCTTCAGTTAATAATTTTTGCTTGCTTAACTGTCTTAAAAAGCATTACTTTATGGGAATTTTCTGTTAATTTATGTTTTTTCATATAGGTTAATTATGTATTTATGCATTTATTCAAACAACTTTGCCTCGAAGACAACAGATATATGTATAAAATTTGGAAAATTACCTACCACTGGTAGATGTTTAAATTAAATATATATGCAGCTTTACTTTTTAAACGAATTCATACATCGTTAGTATGAATGCATATCACGTTTGTGTTTTTCTTAGGTATTGATTTTATATCATTTATATCTCTTAGGAATACTGATTTAAAGAATTACTTGGGTCAGGGTTAAAGTCATTGTTTTTCATGAATTACGTGTTTTTACCTGGAAGATGTTGGTTCAGTAGATGCAAATTTAACAGACAACATTTCAGGACACTATAAGAAATACTTGCAAAATTTACATCAAAAGTTGACAATATTCTGATGTCAAGAGTTGTCTGTGAAACTTTAATTTGAATAATATGAAGACATAAAAATCTCCATGTGACAAAGTAGACATCTGTCTGCCATCTTTGGACAGGAAATTAAACTCGTGTAGAATAAGCAATTTAGCACTGCATTTACAAAGGTAAAAACCTCAGGCTTCTGTCCCTGTAGTTGAAGAAAACACTACTCGTTGTAACCTGTAGGAAAGTTTTCAGGATCTTTTTAAATTCTATTGATCAATAAATAACCACAGTTTATTAGCTGTCGATAAACGTCTAATCGATCGTCAGATTCTTAAGGAGGTCAAATCTGCTAAATGTCAGTAAACACCTACATTGCTAAACAATGTTATGGGATGACTGAAGCAGTATTCAAATACCTATTACTTGGATGACATATGCAAGACAAGGCCAGTTTACATATCATCCCTGCTTGCTATTGTGTTTTGGCAGCATCTCTAACAGAGTGAGTGTTACACAAAGTATTTAAACAGGCCCTCCTTATTTAATGTACATCTCTTAAAGGACATGATGCCCTAATGTTTATAGAAGACAGTGGAAAAAAAGCTATGTCCATAAGCATCTTACAGCTGAAGCAG